GCTTGTGCTCATTGTGATGCATTCGCGGGACTACTGAGGGGGATGTGAGTATTTCACCATTTACCCGAGTTTGTAGATAGCATTTGCATGAGTGCGTTCACCTCTCGCGGGAATAGCAATGCATTCGCAACATCAGTTTTCGTTCACACTTTTTTTCTGAGGTAATCTAGCGGTTGGGCGGAGCGTGTTTAGCTCCCGCAGAGATGGTGATCGTGAGGTTTAAGGAGGCCAAGACGTGCTCGGCTGCCTTTAAATCCTTCATTCCACAAGGGTCCAGGCTTCGGACTTCGCCTCCAGCCTATATCATGAGCCTGAGTCATGTGCGGGAGACATGGTTGGTGAGTATGATCCAATTTTATCTACTCTATTACTAGTTCTTGTGTATTTGATGCTAGCCTTTCTCTGCAGCGCTAGATAGACAACATGAGACCGTGTCTCCCGATTGAGCCTCCCGATTGAGTGGCTGAGGACTTCTGGGCATCTGTGAGCAGATCTCTATAAAATCCATACTATGGTAAGTGCACACACTAAACTTCTGTGCGCTTTCTAAAATCCACATGGTGGTAAGTGTACACGCTAAGCACTCTGCGCACTTTATAAAATCCACATGGTGGTAAGTGTGCACGCTAAACACTCCGCGCACTTTCTAAAATCCTGTATGGTAAGGGTTACGCGTTGTCAGCCTCGTTCCCTTTCTCTGAGGTGGCTTAGGCCCTGGTACTCGCCTTGGGCTCCACTCAACTAGTGTGTCTCTGTCGATACACTTTTAAAGCATCGCTCCCCTCACTGTAGAGGGTTATTTATGAGCATGGTGCTTTCTTCCGAGCGTTCGAGTTCTCTCCCCTTCTGAGGAGTTGAATTCCCTGCTCCGTGGGCTGTTCTCGTGGTGGTGTTTAGCAGTGCTCCCCTCTATCAGAGGGTTGCCTATGAGCACGCTGCCTCTCTTCTGAATTCGGAGTTCTCCTCTCACATGGAGAGTTGAGTTCTCTGTTTTCCCAGAGCACCTGGAACCAGCAACATCAGGCGAACTATGCCCTTCCTCTGCCTCCCTAATGCACTGAGTTTTTTGGCTAAGCTTGCAGTACGCTTACACTTCAGGATTTCTAATGTCAAACTGATGAAGATGTTTTCTTAATTTGCTGGTGTTTTTTCAATTTGCATGTGTTTTCTTAAGTTGCAGCGCGTTGAGCTCTCTCGGCCACCGTAAGACTAAGGGTCTAGAAGAACCGCTAATTAATGTTTGAGCATTACATGGTGTAATGACTTTAACTCATTAATTGTATAAGGGAATTAATTATTATTATTTATTCAGGTTTTGAGAGGACTCGGATCTGAAGATTCAGAGTCAACCTGATTAGAACTGATTTCAAATTTGTTATTTTACACTTTAAATCAAGGGTCGTCCAGCGAGCCGTGACCTCAGTATATTTTAACAAATTGAATATGTATTTTCCCCGGCCACAGGTCAATACGATACATGTTTTGATAAGTTATAAGCTATTATAGTAATTATTATGAGTAAGCTACGAGCTAGGCAGCAAGGATCTTTTTGGCAAAGGTTTTAACATTAAAATTATATGACACCAACGATGATTCTTTATAAATGACGGAGTTGCATAACGTTCAAAGTTCTAACTCGTTTTCACGAGTGATTTAAATTAACCTGAGAGAATTCACAAAACAGAGAATTTGTCGTATTCTCCTGGCCACGGATAAATACGTTCTTTGATAATTTGTAAGCTCTTAGAGAGGTAACGTAATCTTTATAAGTAAGCTACGAGCTAGGTAGCAAGGATCTTTGGCAAAGGTTTTAACCTTAAAATTATATGACACCAAACAATGATTCTTTATAAATGAAAAAATGAATTTTATTGGCTACTCTAGATTACATTTAAACTACGCTAAAACACACATACACACAACATACAGTTTCTTTAGAATGAGAGTTGACGGGGTTGCATGACGTTCAAAGTTCTAACTCGTCTTCACGAGTGATTTAAATTCACCTGAGAGAATTCACAAAGCAGATATTTTCTTATCTTTACTGCTTAACTAAATTCACCAGCGTCAGTTCAGCAGATAGAAGATTTTGTTTGTTTACTTGCGTTCTGCTTGGTTGACAGCTGAAAGCTGAGTTTCCTGGTTTGGCTGCTTGAGGGAATTCCGTTGCTGATTGGTCGCTGAGGTGACGTTGGAATGACGTCCTTTTGGGGAAACCCTCTTGGAGTGGTTGGTTGCCGGGTTACAGCGGAGCTTCGGGTTCTTCTGAGAGAGAGACTGCTTTAGCAAGGCTTTGCGTTCCTTTTGGAGCCACGACGCGATCTTCCAATCGGACGCTGTTGCAGGGCTTAGCCACGCCGTGTGTGGTTCCTTTTTTTTATGCACAAGTCACATGCCCCCGTGGGGCGTACTTCTGGATGTTTTAAATGACTTCTGATAAAAGTATTATCACCAGAGAATGATACATAATATAAAATTTTCACTAACACCAATGTTCGGCGAATAAGACAAGCTCTCACCCGATACTAAACTTCACATCTTACACACATATTAAATGCTTAAAATCATCATGCAAGGTTCTGTTTCTTTTGTTGTAAGAGAAGTTTGTAAGGCTTCCAGACAGGGCAGGAAGCAGGTGGTCAAAAGTCATGTGGCGTCACGCTGTATATCCCGTGCTGGCAGGCCCGAGGGCGTGATTAAATTACTGTCCTTTTCCTGTTTGGACATAATAGTTCCATCCATTGGTGGTCACAAGACATCGTGGTTTCTATATGTTGTGAACGAACCTTTCCAGTCCTGATACACAGAAAGCTTTGTTGTCTCCTGATTGGATTAATCTTTAATCACTCCTCTGAGTGGATGACGACAAGACCGGCAGGAAGTCGACCCAGAATATTGGAATCATGTGCTGGGTGATTAGCAAACCTCATGATGGCTGATAGGGGCATAGCAGTAGTGTCCGTATATGATAGAAATCCCTACACCGAGGTGGTACTAAAAAAGTACCAGGTACCAGGTACTGTACCCAGTGGAAAACCCCCCAAAAGTGAACCGTACTGA